ACACACACACACACACACACACACACACATACATACACACACACACATACATACACACAGAGAGAAACGCACACCTATTTCCAGACAATCCTTCCACGTCTCGCCAACAAAATCCTAACAGACACCACCAACATAAGGACCTTAGTGTCTTCGTGTTGGGCTTCGATCAAGGCGATCAGTGTCGATAGTTATTGATGAACAACCTGGCTCCACAGATCGATCAGCTTTACCCTATTTGGCAACAGAAGCCCACGACATAGCCTCCCGTTTGGTACCTTTTGTCAAACTCTATTCACCTATTCAAACCCCTCCTGACGTCGGATTTTTTGCATTATAAAATTATGTGGGGAATAAACAATTTCTATTTAAAAAGGCCTAAACGATATATAATCAGGGTGATTTCGATCGGCATAGGAACGTATTCTATACGGTCAAGACGGAAGGAGAGGGGTCTAAACCACGCTAATCTGCTTAATACTCTCTCCAGTTTGGGAGGTCTCTCTGGGAAGTATCTTTTTCGCCTCGTTCGGGCCTTTATTTTGCGACAACGCTACTAGGACACGACACACGTTTTCTTACTCTGTCTCTAACGCACGCGTCGTTTCAAAAAGGACGTAACGAGACGGCGTAAAAGAGTGCCGGCTGGAGAGCTATCTATGACCGCAGAGTTAAATCCCAGCACAGAGCGGTGGCTTGAAGACTGCAGTGCAAGGATTTCACCTCTGACGGAGGATCTAGATGACTTAGGTGGGATGCTCTACTCGTTCGATCTCTCGGTTCGTTCGATATGGTCCGGAGAGAAAAGTTGATGTCAGCTAGGCCAGTGTACAGGTTCCAGTTAAAACTCAGCAAGAACAAACGTTTATTTATGAAAATCTGGACTCTCTGTGCGAGAAGAGAGAGAGGGGGAAATGTGACTCCGCAGTCCAGGGGGAGCTAGAAGAGACAAAAGCTGGAGAAAGGAAATTAGTCCATTCACTAATCAAAGACCTACTGATAAAACTAATCATTATTACTTATATTCTCTTCTTGTTTCCTCTTGGTGTCATTGTATTTACTTATATTCTAATAGTCAATGACTGACTGATACGAATAAGATCGTTAACACGACACCCGCAAAACGGAGACGGGACCAGAAAACAAACAAAAACGTTCACATAATATGACAGATCCGACATGCTTCAACAGGGTACACTCCCCAACGCAGGTGGTCAAGGAAAACATAGGTGCCAATTAACAGCGGCCTCGGTTCAAATGAAAGGCAAGAACCATGAACCTGACGGAAACTATTCTGTTGAAGGAAACACTTATTCATGACCGCGGGGAGTTCCAAATACATTTTTATCAATATCACTACCGTTATTTCTGCTGCAATTGTTGCAAAATAAACCGCCCACAGCCCCTCCTCAAGCTAAATGCAGTTATCCTGAGTCTTTATTTCCCAAAAAAAATTCCGGATTAATAAATAATAATCGATAGCATTTGTACAGCGCAAATCCCCGCTGGGCAGCAAGATCTATCAGCAAGAGAATCTGTATTGATAAATAAGATAAATCAAAGCAACAAACACACCAGCTTTAAAGAAATAAAACAGGGGAGGGTCATGAACGGAGAAAGAACAG